TATGGCCACAAAGCTGCTTCTGCACAGCACTCAGAACGATCTTGGTTCTGTCTGGCTCCATGCTTTGCTCCCCACTCTGCTTATTCTCACATGTACTGGCAGCCCCACACCACCCATGTGCTGTGCTGAGCACCTCACTGAATGCCAGTTCACATAGACAGGCATGTAGACAGCCCTGTGAGCGAGATCCTGTGCTTACAGCTTGCAAGTTTAAGAGCACTGCTGAAATGTATTGACGTGTTAACGAGCTAGGTTGGATGGCAGACTCATCACATCTAGTGCAGTGGTTATAAAGAGACCCAGCAGTGGAACATTTGCCAGGTGAAGAATGCAAGCGTGAATATCAGATTGACTTCTTAAATGAATCAGAACATCAGACGGGTAGAGGTGATGCCCTGCTTTCTGGCCTGACCTTTTTGTGACACTTATCTGTATGATAGGGAAAAGTGTAGGCCTGTGGCATCTCACAGCAAGCCTAGGGGATGGTAAGAAGTATTTGTTTGTTCAGGCGGTCAGCCTATAAATACAACTGCAGTTCAAAATGTACATCAAACTTTGTATATCAGTTTTCCTATACAGTGTTACTAGCCATTGAATTTCCTTAGGTCATATTATTCCTCAATTAATGAGATTGCACAGCTGTAATCAAAGGGATAATATGATACTGATCAGATTTCAACAGCAAAATGCTGTTTCCAGCTGTGATGGCATGGGAGAAAGAAGGCCTCATCTTGATGTATTTTCCAGATAATAGCAATTCATGTACCTAACAGTGAGAAAAACCTTTAAAAATGCACTTTCTATGCGATCAGTAAGAACCCAGAACTGCAAAATTATGATGCTGCTATTAGATTCAGTCATCAGAGAGTAACTTAATTGTAATTCTGTAAGCCAGGTTGAAATTTGCTCTTCAAATTGTTTCCACTTGACAGGGATATCACCTGGAAATGTTGGCTCATTGTCCTTAATTGAAATTTTGGTATTTTGAACTGAACATACACCCCCACAGCATTTAGCTCACAAGTTTGATATTTCAGGTTATGTATGGATGTTGAACATGGAAGGATTTTACTCCACACTTAAAACAATTCAGGTATAACATTTCCTCTTAATTTTATTAAGCAACTAGCAAATTTTAAAAGCTGGAATTTATTTATTGCTATGTTAAATCAGTGTCTCCCCAAGCTCTGTGTGCCCAGTTTGAAAAACTGAATCCACCAAATTCCACAAGAACTGACAGACTTTCGTAAATGTGAGGCTTACTGAGGCTAAGTATTCCAAATAGAGAACCAGACTACAGTGTTTCATTCTCACTCCTCTAGCACTACATAACTCTGCTACAAAGGTGCATTGTGAGATTTCAGCTTTTACATTTTTAGCAGCTGAAGAGCATCAGTGAGCATTAAGTAGAATTTCTTTCAGACTCTGTAATCTTTACCACATCTTTTCCTTCTATGTGACAAAACAGATAAAAGTGCTTGTGGTTTAAAACAGGGACACTAAGCTACCCATGATCTAGGTGAGATTGTGAATATTGTGAATTAGATCCTTCGGAGTATTACCGTGCTTTTTTGCTACTCTCCTACTTTTATGTTTTAAATATCGTTTACAGATTTCCTGTGTAGGCCTGTCCCCAGGCACTGACAACCCGGTGTAGACAACTCATAAATAAAATGAGTGAGACATGAGCAAGAAAAAGCATACCATACTTCTGGGAATCACTCCAGGAAAATAAATGTGCAAGATGGCACATCACCCTACACAAAGCTGGCAAAGGTAAAATAACATTTGGATTTGATCATTACAGAAAATAAAATAATTTTGTGTTCATAAGTACGTGCTGGTCTTTCCCTGAAATGAAAGGGCAAAGGTAAGAGTTCAAAGTCTGAAAGTGGAGTTCTGACTTACAGGAAAACAAACCTGCCAGTGACTGCTGCAGCTTATTTAACTGAAGTAGAGGATGAAGCCTGGATTTGATCCCTAGTTTTCAGAATGTCTGTGGACTCTCTAGGAACGGCCACCATCATCTATTTCCCATCTCTGCTGCTCACTAGTTCTGCAGCATATGCTTGCTTTTAAAGGACTGTTTAAATTCTAGGCCTACCTTTTCCTCACTAATGACAATGCATGATTTTATATAGAAGCGGCGTAAAAACACTGCAAAGAACACAAAAGAAACAATCAGCTTGCTTTCTTATAATGGGTTTGGATGAATATACCCTCCCGTTTCCATCTGTGCTTTATTCCCTTTTGCTCGAGAGTAGGATATTACATTTACTGGCACTGACGTTCCTCAGAGCTAATTCTTTTTCTCCCCTTCTGCTCTGCTCTCATTTTGCCACTTTTTTTTTTTTTACTATTTTTTAGTCTCCTGCATCCTCATTTTCCTAAGTGCTATCTAGTCTCCAGTTTACCATATTTATGAGCCACTCTGCAAGTCCAAGCAACTGCACATAAGGTATGACAATAGGACAACTACAAGGAAATTATTACTATTTAAGGGATGAGTTGGCAGAAAAGACATCCTGCAACTGTGCAGATTGCAGACAGATGCTTACCTATGTTTTGCTTGGCTGTAATCTGGAAATGTACAGAATTCTTTGAGAGCAAAAGTATTCTTGCCAATTGTTATTTCTATGATGCCCTTATTTTTTGCTTTTAGGGATGAGGGTTTACCTTCATCATAAAACTGTCTGCCTGGCAAGCAGTTGAAAATTCTGCTTGGGTTTTTAAATATCAATACATTCCTGTGCAGGCATAGCTTTAAAACAAGTTGTTTACGATTGAACATTCTCACACTATCATTGCTTGCATTTCACTGCACAACAAACCTGCAGAAAAGCTTTTTATGCATCAAAATGAATGAAAAGTTGCTTATGACATAGCAACAGGAGTTCTAGGAGAGGTGTATCCGAGTATCTGCCAGAATTAACATTTGCTTATGTGACTTTGAAGCCTCGTACACCCATTGAGCAGATACAAGCCTTGAGGCTCCTCAAAATTTTTGCTCTTCTCACAGTGATAGCCTTCAGGTCATCTTATCTGACAAAAGTAAACAAGAACATAAAACTCTTGTCAAGGATAGGGACTCCTGAAAGTTGATGAGTCCAGTCTGAGGAGCATGAACTGATGTGTTTACCTTGGCTAGACCTTTCAAGAACCATAGTTGGGTGACGTGGAAGAAGCAATTTAGTGTAGACTTTTACAAGCTCAACTTCTTCCAACCTTTCAGGATTGGTGACTTCTCTTAAGCCAGAAGATAGTTTAAAACGTTATGTGGTGATTCCTCAAATGTATTCAAGACATTCTGTAAGAATTTTCTGCTCTAGGAAGAAAATTTCATTTGTTTTGCCACTTAAACTTGCCTTTTTACCACTAATGAAGACTGAGAGAAAAGCAAGGCTTCTTATTCTTGATGGCCACTCAGCACGCAGGCCAGGAGAGGAAACAACCTCGAGTCCAGGTATCAAACCATTCCTTTGTTCTCTGGCTCCAAATGCAGAGAAGTCCTGAAGTTTCATGAATATCCCATTCAGGAAATCAGAACTCTTTTGGCAAGTGAAGATCAAAAGGAATTATCCTTTTGCTTATGCTGCGTTCTACTTGATTTTGCCACGTAATTTGGTAATTAGAAGGATTGGCAGGTAAGTAAATCAGGAAACCGTGATTCCTGAAATGCAGAAATCATCGTCTTGTTGACCTGTGCTGTATCCACTCAGGATCATTTCATTTTGAGAAGACGCCTTCAAATGTTTTTGATTTCCTGTCCATGTTTTGAATAGGAATGTCTACTGAAACCTCTTACCAAGCTACTCTGAAGACCAAGTACACAAGAGAAGACTTTATGCAAGTGCTATAATTTAATTAGTTCCTGGCACAGACACAGCCAGCACCAACTCAAGCCATATAAGAAGACAGCTAACACTCACGGTGGCGTTTCTGTTATAGGTGCTTGGCCACTGAACAGTCCAAGGGTCTGACCTAGCTGTAAAGAGGCCGTTCTCAACTTTCAGTTGTGACTCGCACAGTGTCAAGTTCTAACCCATATCCTGTGAATTACTCATTTCCTACAGGAAGTTCATCTTTGCTACTATCATTTAACAGAATCACAACCACCTATTCTGCTTTCAAGTACTTGCTTTCTAGTTTCAGTCTAGCATAGTCTAAGTGTCTACAGTAGTCTAAGTGTATTTCCCCCGAATTGGCAGAATTTTTAGAGTGAAACGAGGGGTAAGGGTTCTGTGGTTTGAGAAAGTCAAATGTGAGTTCAATGTCTGATACAAGAGCAAATCTCCTTGTGACAACTAATGTGCAAACGAATGGGTTTCTGTAGCTGTCTCCATCAAGGGGGAAAAAAAAAAAAAGGATGAATTTTTTAGTACTTGTGAAATATTCAGCTAATCTTCCCACTTGACTTGCAAGAGACTCAATGACATGCTTTGTGTCTGTTTTTTAATATTCAGCATTTGGAAGCTCCATCTCCCTGAGTAAATAAGAGCACTACAACTATTGTCTACACTGTGGCAGAACAAAAAGTCCTTTGGCCAGATGTGAGCATGCTATATCCTGCAGCTCCTCTCCCCAAGCCCCATCCGCTCTAGATACAATATGGCAGCATGGACTGCCAGCAGGCTGCTTGTGAGCCTTTCTGTGCTAGTGTGCTAAACTACCAAGCTCGCTCAGATGCCACCAAGCTCTAAAGAAAAAGTCTTTGTGCCTACATCTGCAGTCACTCCTGCATGCTTGCCGTTTGAAATAGGAATAAGCGTGATTTTTCAGCAGGGTTCAGGTCTACTTTCAATGGAGTGCACGTGAAGGTCTTCAGTGATTATGTAAATGTACTAATTATGTAAATCTAGGAGACTTATGACAATTAGAATTAAGGGTGAGAATGTAAACATGGACCTTGTTATCTTGCACTTGGAGAAAGTGTTATTTTTCTGAACAATGTAACACGTTAAGACCTCAATTGCAACACAAATCTTTATTAACAGATCAGGTTGATGGGAGAAAAAGATAAAGGTTAAACACAATTTGTTATTTACAATTTTCAAATTTATATACAAATCCCGATGTTCTGAGTGCTAAACTCTTATGCCCCATACATATGTTGTTTGTTTTACCAGATCACGTGTGAATGAAAAGAACAGCTGTGACCTCTCTTGCATTTTGAAAGGGCTCTGATAAACACAGATTCAACTTAACAAAAAAAGTCTTGAATTCATTCCTTTTGTGTGTGTAAGGACCTGCAGAATTAACCTTAATAATTAAATTCAAGATTAACCATGAAAAAGCATCTAAGGTAAAACTGCATACCTGCTCATATTCAGTTAGGTGGTTATCTGTTAACAGTTCAGTTCTGTCACTGTGGTTTCCTAACCTATAATCCACCCCATCTTAAGCAACATTTTTTAAAAGCCCCTGAAATTGTGTGTTCAAGTAATACCTTTCCTCTTTCTACAACATGAAGTTACTTAAAGCATGTTACTAAAATTATTTTTTTTCTTTGCATACATAATTTTAACAATTCTTTGGATTGGGATTTTTTTTTTTTTAAATTAATTTCTTATTTTTTTTAGCACAATCACTAACTTATTTCCACGAAGTCACTGATAAAACCACGTCTGCACTATGGGGCTACACTGCTCTTTATTATACCAAATGATTGGTTCCAAAGAGTAACAGCTAAAGGTATACAGAAACTGGACATGAATGGCCCACAGTTAACTGAGGGTAAAGCCCCAGGTAGTCTTATAAAGATTTAGCTAAAGTTGGTAAATGAAACAGTCTAAGATTTGCATGCAACCAAAATACAATGATAGATATTTCAGCACTTGCTGCCATTTCTGATCATCATCCCTTTTCTATGCCTCCTTTGACTGCATGCATTCCTTTTTTTTTTTCCCCAGAAAATACAGCTTTTCAAATATAAGCATAAGTAATGGTAATACAACAACAGTAACAACAGCCTTCTGAACTCAGCTGGAGATGAAGGCTGCTTCTTCCTCGCCAGCAACATTGTGCTGATCATGTCCTTCTGCAGGGCAACTGCTCTCAGCTTCTGCTAAACTGTGTGCTCAATACGGAATGTGGAAGAGATGAAACTATGGGTGCTGGGAGAAGAGTCTGGACATGAGAAATAGCATAGTTGATATTCTGGTGGGGAGGCAGATAAGAAAGGAAAATGAAGTAATTAATTCATAATTTACAAACATATACATTACTTGGCCTGTGAAAGTTTAATGATCTCTGTTTTTTTGGCCTTCTTCCACATACTCTCTCTGCTATCTAGGTTTTCCCATGTCTCAAATGACCAAAACACTTCAACGCTTCCTGAACTGCGCTCCCAGTGAAGGACAGGATAAGACAGGACAGGAGAGGATGCAGCAGACGGCCTACTGTGTTCTGTACTTTGTTCTTGAAATGACCAGAGTAACCTCCCTCCCTCAAAGCACCTACTGTGAATGTCTGCAGTCCATGACAAGGTTCCAAGGTCTGGAAAGATACCTGAGTCAGCAGAGCATGCCCACCTGGAGTCTATAATATCAGCAGGCACACCAGCTTAATGCTCAAAAGAATAGTATTAATGCATTTCTCTAGCCATGAGAAAGTGCATTACATCTATGCAGTTTGCCCCTATGTTCTCCAAACAGTTATGTGAAACCAGCCCGTATTTCCCTCTTACGGTGGGATGAATATAATTCTCTCTGGAAAAATTCTGCATCTGAAAGAAGATGTTAATTTGCAGGAATGATTAATAGTTCTGCTGACTGCTAAAAATCCAGTTAGAGCAGTTAGGGTATGATGGCTTTACAGGAGCGGGATAAAGTTTATTTGATTTTCTGTAACTGAGTGTCCTCAGCTGAACCTACCAACCCTTTGCTGTGCAAGGATTGTAACTCCCACTGCAGTTGGCTCAGCCTCCATTTCTATTTTTAGTGCAGATCTTGCTCCTTTTTTAGACCTGATTGCACAGCCAGAACTGCGTTCTCAGCAGCTCAGTGAAAAGCCTGCCTGTTCCATTTTATAACTTTTCCAGACAAAAAGATGGGAAGCCTGCAGCTTTCCAAACACTCTTATTTTTAAGAGCTTGCAATACGATACAGCCCAAAACCCAAGGGCTGAATGAATCCCTGCTGAAATACTATTGAATTTTCTGGGGTTTTATTCAGCATTAATTTGGCTGCTAATAAGATACTTGGGATATTAAAACATTAAAAAAACAAATAGCCTCCCCCCCCCCCCCACACACACACACAAACAACAACAAAAAGCAAAAAACAAAAAACCCTTCTTCACTGTAAGTACTTAAAAAGATATTTATCAAAAAGGTAATAATGTACATCTGGATCAAATCCTCCAGACAACATATCTTCTTCAGATTCATAGTTTATAAATCCAATTGATGGAAGCAACTACTAGCCAAGAAAGAAAGAAACAAGGAAAAATGGAAAACACTGAGTTTGAGGATTCTCTAAGCAGGAACAACCACACAGAAGCAATTTTCTGGCACTCAATTAAAACCACTCAATTAACATTTTTGAGCAAAGTTTCCCACTGCAGCTAGAACAGACAGAGTTGCTGTAGTTCTGTCTGCGTTAGCGACAGTGCTTCACCTCTGCTTAAAGTGTTTGCTTCTGCAATATCTTCTTAGTGATGTATACTGAGGAAGTTATATTTCAAAGTGTTGTACATATTAAAAAAAAAAACCAAGATGAAGATGATTACAGCCGTTGTCGGGCTGTCAACGTACAACCTACATTGCTAATACAAGTAAAACACGTCCTTATATACATGTACTGAAATATGTTGCCAATAGTGTGATAACAGTTTGCATCTTACTATACACCTAAATCAAGCATACCTGCAAATATCATTTCATTCTTAACCCAAAGTATAATAAAGTATAATAAAAATATCCTCGTATGCACAGATCTCTTCTTAGAAGAAATCTTAAACCCTTCCCTCCTGCAACAAATCTCTAAGGAATTGTTATGCTACTCAGGCAGTAATCAGTGAATTCAGCCATCTTTATTGGACACATAATGACATCCAACACCCCTCTTGCAATGGGGGAGACTGACTGCAGATGGAGATTTCCCTCAGCTTCCCCTGCATTCAGGCAGTTCACTAGTTCTTTTATGTCCCACTGAGAACACAAAGGCAGATTCAAAAGAAAATTAACTGGAAGAGTAAAGGAATTAAAATCAGTGAAGGAATTGATAGACTAACATATTCTTATTGTAAATTCAGGAATTTAATTAGCCCCCGGTCAAACACTGAACAAATCAAAGCCAATAACAAACGGAAAGATCATTAAAAGTAGATATTCAGCAGATCCGAATTTACATATTTTGTGTGCCTCAAACACCCAATTCATTCTGTGAAAACTGAGGGTGTCCCAAACATATGAAGTCAGGTTCATTATCTCGATTTAAATAACACAAAGCTCGAAAGAGAGAAGCTGAGTGCCACAGGAAGTAAGTACTCAAGATCACTATCTCAAAGGCACAAGGTTAAAAACTGAAAGGACTGGAAGTTATCAACCGAAAATAAAAAAAACCCAAGTACTTGAAAGCCTGTTTATCCTAGCTGGCATCAGGAATATTGTACCCTTGTACCCTAAATAGAGACCGTGGAAATCTGCCTAATGAGGGTATGCACTGTCTTGGCTGTGGTTTTCAGCACTACACGCAGAGCTGAAACTCTAACAAATTTAGGAGAAAAAAAAAAAAAGGGAAAAAATATACTGTCACTGCTAAACGTCAAAGCTAAAACCAGGCCAGTGGAGTCACAACTGTAGTGCAAAATGTATCAATTTTCCTCCAATTTATATTCTGGACATAGTTTTTAATAATAAAAATGGCTGCTGAATCCATTTGGAAGTAAATCTTGTCAAAGACTGTATTGCTTTGTTTGTAATTCAACGCTACGAAGTGGACCCTAACAAATGATTTGTGTCTGATGAGCAACTATTTCTGTATTTTGTTTGGAATGACCACGTCTGTGTTTTGAGTTAGGAAATGTGCACAACATTAAAATGAAATTATTCAAGTGCCATTTTACCTCAAAATGAAGTAGGTCACTTTGAAGTCAGCTTTGATGGCCAGTTCTGTTGCTCCTTTTGTTGTTGTTGTTGTTGTTTTTTGTTGGTGTTTTAAGAGCATCAGCCTGTTCCCTCAGCACCACTTAATCACTGGTAAGTTTCATGGAGAGCAAACAAAAGGCTCTTTTATTTATCCATTATGTTACTAAGAGGTGAGAACAGCTTGATGCAAATGAAAATCATTAAAGCATTCTGTGCTACCATTAACTGTCTGAATATCTGCCTATGCAAATACAGCACACAACCCAGTGAAACTGCAGCCTCATGACCTACAGCATTGAAAATCTATGCCTTATGACTCTTTTAACCCAACAGTTAAAATACTCCGTGTGATGTGCTTCTGTAAGCACTTAGTTTGAATGAGCATGGAAATGGAGTGTAAGCCATTACACAGAAACATTCTCCATTTCAGAAACCCCTTCACCGTGACTGGCCAAGGGTAACATCAGAGCTATCTGATTCATTACAGTGCTGCAGTATGGAGCTAAAATGTGATTGCCCAGATGTGAACCTGCATGCAATTACACCCAGAACCTCACTTAAGTAAGCAGTCCCATTTAAGACAACATGAACATATCATAATGCGAAACCACGAACGGTCTGCAGGATTAGAGGCCTAATTAGATATAAAATCTACTGACTACCTTCTTTAGAACTCTGTCCTTTGCATAGCCACTTATCCCCATGCAACTGAGCACAGAACAGTGCTCTCACTAAGTAGCACCCTACCCAACAATAAAGATGAGTAAGTGTATGAAGCTGGAGAGCTCAGCTGAAGTAGTACCTAGCAACCAGAGTGCGCGAGAACCTTCGTATTCCTAAGAATTCTAACCAAAGACTTACATATGGCAGTTTAGAAAGCACCTTAGAGGAGGCCACTTTTTGCTGCTCTCCTTGGTGAAATTTAGGTTAGCCATCAGGCAACAATTTACTTCGAATGCCTGAGAGCTTTTCTAGACTAAGTTTTGGCAGAAGTAAGGGATATCTCACCCTCCTTTGGGACACATACCTTTGTTACCTACTCTTACACCACAGAACAGAGGTTAGGACAATGTGTTATTCAACAGCAGCTGGAAAGGAAATGGTTGATTGGATTCTGTGCCTTTACTGCTTGAAGGACTTAGATCAGCCTCTCCTGTTTGCTAGGAGAGTACTCCCATCAGCAGAGGCCTGTGTACAAAGCATCTCTGACATCCAACTTGAGATTTTGACAATCTGTGCTGGGGAATGGAAGACACTCAGGCCAGAAAGAATAAGGATACTTTAGTCTCCTAGGCTGCTTACGTATTTTCATTAAGCAGTAATTATACAGCTTGAATGCACAGTACTGAGTGCAGGGACTAAGGACTCCTAGGCAAGTGCTCTTATTACTTATTTATTTGGATATCATGAAATTAATGTATTTGAGGCACTTAGAAAAGAAAGAAATTCAGTGGGACTGAAGACCCCCCTAGAAGTCTTCTTCTGAGCTTGGCACAGCGGAACACTTAAAATACTTTATTTGAGTCACTGCTGCTTCACCTGTCCTGTTTAATACAGTGGTACCATGGAATAAACTGAACATCAGACTGCTCATCACCTGCACTGCCAAGCTGGTAGCATGCTGCGTGGCAGCTTTGGCCCATAACAACCATCTGGAGTGATGCTCCCAGGCAGTTCAGGGGACAGCACTTGGACACAGCGAGACTCAGCCAACTCTCCGGCCTTCATTATTTCATAATATTGCATAAATGTAATGTATGGTAAGGAACATTGTGAAGAACCCAATAAGAAAATTATAAATTCTTCTGTCACAGTATAATTAATGCCAAGTAATTTGGATTTTTATTTTACCTCTAAAGTAACAACGTTCCCATTTTATTGATGACTGAATTAAAATTAGCTAGAAATACTTTGTTTTTATTAAGACATAGATAAAAGATAAAGCTACTCTGAAGGAACTTGAAAAATATAAACACTACTAATTTCTTTTGTTTAAAATAACCAATTTTTGCATTACTGCAAGCAAAAAGCAATTTCGTACCTGCTAGGTGAAGAAGAAATTAGGGAA